CTATAATAATTAGCTTATAGGAAATAACCCTTACTTTATATATAAGAAAGAGTATAAACTTTTTAGTTATTACTTATATATAATAATAGTTACCTATTAGCAGATTAAAGACTATCTTTAAGGTTATCTTTACTATTTAAATAGCTATAAAATTAAGAAGGTATAAAAGTAAGTATTTAAGTTAGAGGTTATTAATAATAACTAAAAGATTAATAATATACTATTACTACCTAATAATGCGCTAGCAATTAATATATTAAGGCCGCCTAAAGATAGAGGGTTTTAGTATATATTTATAATAGAAAATAAAAAAGGGGGGTTAATATATAGATTTATAGGCTCTAATTTATAGAAAATATAAGAGCACTTAAAGTATACATATAGATTAAATATAGGGCTAAAACCTAATAGAGTGCTAGTAATAACTAAAAGCAGATAGAAGGAAAAGCCATAAAGGGTTAGAGTTTTATATTAATAATTGTTTTTAAATAGACTAAAAAGTAAGTTTTTTAAGGTTCTAAAGGGTTAAATATTGCTATATAGACTTATAGAGAAGTTTATATAGCAAGATAGGGTAATAGGGGATTTTAGTTAATATATAAGCTATTTTATGCCTTAAGAGTTCTATAATAGCTAGGAAGAGAATAGAGAGGCTAGTGGCTAGAATAGAATTAAAAACGGTAAGTTTTAGTATTATATTTAATATAATAAGAGGCCTGTTTAAAGACCTTTTTAACTATAATCTTTCTTAGCAGATAACTATTCATAAATAGTATGGCGTTATACTATAAGCTAGTATTGCCTAGTATATCTAATAGCGCTTTAATGCAGTATATATTTTTAAGGTCGCTGCAATTAAGCTACCTAAGTAAAGCTAATAACTAAAAAAGGCAATAACTAAAAAAGGCAGTTAAATATCCCTTCTATTCCTACATAATATCTCAAGCTTGCAATTAAAACTCTTCAATATGCAATATGCCGCTAGCAAGCCACTGTTAAGCGTATAGGATAAGGTAAACTGGAAATACTGTAAATAACTATTTCAGGCAGTTAACACCAGCTTAGCCACAATATAGCTAATATAGATAGAGTAAAAAGCTTATTTATATATAGTTCTATCTTAATAAGTTACTAAGAAATATATTATAGTTATATAATAATAAATAATTAGATAAAAGCTTATCCTTATAGACAATCTATTATTTACTATATATAGGATAGTAGGTTTAAGGAGTATAGTATATAATAGAGAGGTTAATGCAGATAGGAGATAAGTAATAAAAGTCTAGATAATAATACTATTATCTTTAATAAAGACTATAGTGGCAATAGGACCTTAAGTCTTAATACTGAAATCAGTCTTAATAGCAATATCAGTCTTATTAAGGCTTATACTAATAGCAATATAAATAGAGAGAAAAATACTAATATTAACCTATTATTATAGAACTTAAAAGCCAGTAATAAGACTATTATAGCTTATATTAGCATTATTAAGGCAGGTAATATTATATTAATTAGCGCTAATAAATAAAAAAGTAATAAAGTTAAGCTTACTACTATAATAGTATTTATTATTATAAAGGCTAAAAAAGTTAATATTTAAGTAAATCTTAATATATAAGTTAGCGTTATTATTTATAGAGAAGTATACTTAAGTAAAGCTAGGGAAGCTATTCTTAAAGGAGAAATAGCCTAAAAAGTTAAAGCTATAAGGGGTGCTAATGCCTCTAATAGTATTAAGTACTTTAGTGCCAATAGCTAAAGTATTAGTCTTAATTGCAGATATTATAGTATTAGGGAAGTAAGTAGTAAGCTAAGTAGCAGCTAAATTACTTATAGTAAGGATAATAATTTTAATATATTATATCTTAGAGTTAATAGTTTACTTAAGAATAAATAACTAGAAAATATAATTAATAAAAACTCCTAAAAGAATATTAAAAAGGTTAATTTAATTAAGATACTTAATAACTAAAAAGAAGTTAATATTTAATAAGAGATAAACCCTTCCCTTATATAATATTTAATCCTATAGTAAGGTAAGGTTAAACCTTATCTCTTATAAGATATATACTATAACTATATATTATAGAATTTAATAACCTTTATAGAATAAAGGCTAGTGTATTATAACCTTTAAAAGATATACTTCCTATTTAGTAAGTAAGAAGCCTCTTATTATGCCCCTGATTGATATGTCTTACCCTAATCCAAGTAAGGGAGCTTCCTGCCCTTCCTTAGCGCCGCCTAGATCTCTACTGCTTAGGGGCTTGTTTTAAATATATCTTATATTTTAAGACTACCTAAATTCCAATTGCAGCTATATTAAAACAGTATTAGTTTAACTTATTAGTCCGTTACTTTATGTGCTCTAAGCTGTTCAAAGGTAACCATCAGCTCTCTGCTGATATATTATTATCAAACTCCAAAAGGTCTCAGACTAACTATCTACGGCTTACAGTAGTTATGGTATCGCAATGTGTTATATCGAATGGCAAGAAGTTCTAACGATAGATAGGTTCATCGGTAGCGGATAACAAGTGGTGATTGGGCATATTGGCAGGATAGACTGATAAATAGAAGCGATAGCTAGAGTTAGTGTAATTGATTCTACCTCTATATTCCACGACAGAAGAGACTCTGATTTATCTCGAGGTACAATTTAAGCAATGAAGGTTGGAAAAGCCTTTGGTTCTAAATTTGGTTTACCTATGCTACATATAGCCAGCTTTCTCTCGATAATATAATAAGTGTAACTTAGAGAGAACATAAGAAGATATGCATCTACGTCTAAGTTTGTTGACTAAACGTCTTACAGACCGTTCCATATATCCTTCTTTTAATGTCACTCCAATTAGTAGCCCTATTATTAACTAAACAGGCATGGATTTAGATAGAGAATTTATGCATTACTTTCGATGTCAAGTGGTAATTACAATTTACGTTATGCTATTGATGACGTACCGCCCTGAAGCTCTTTAAACTACCCAGCTTTAGCCAGCAAATAGAAATTGAAGACAGAAACAGAGCAACATAAGGAGCATTTTGTCTATGGAATATCTTTATTATGCTTATTATGATTGCCTATTCTAATAGATATCTAAAAAAAAAAAAACATTGAGTCTCTACTGTTGTTAAAATAAGACTTTTTTGTTCCATCTCGGGATGATTCTTTTTCTAAGCTTGCTCTACTGTAGCCAGGTCCTGGATGGCACAGCCTGCTAAAACCCGACGAAAATTAAGCCATCCAGAGGCTCCGCAGTTGTGACGACTGCGAATTCAGAATGAGGCCTTCTAGGTGGGGTTTCTTGTTGGCTTAATACAGAAGGATCATCTAACATAATTCGGAGCGGCACGCCAGTCTTACCGCCGGACGAACGGAAGCGTATCTGATTGCGAGAAGGGTAAGACACAAGAGGAGATAACAGGGGGGGACATAAGAGCTGTATGCAGCACATTTGTAGAAAAACCCTGTCATGCATACCAGCCACCAAATACAAAGAATAGAAGTGCGTATTGTGGCAATTTCTTTCGTGGGGTAGATGCGCTTTTTACGTTGTCTCCCTTCCTTCCCTTTACTTAAGAAAAGAGTAGCCTACTGTGATTTATCGAAACACGATTCTTAATTGCGCGGCCGCATTAGGTCTAGGTGAAAAAGGAAACGGCTACATACTTTCAACCCCCATGGAAAGTATATAGTGGAGTTATGTCTGCCTATGCCACTGCAGTCATCCTTGAATTATATTGCGTGACCCTTAGAAGCTATCAAACTCCGTCTTTAATTGAGCACAGAGTAGGGCGGGGTTATAAGATATGTAGGACTGAAGTACGGAAAAAGCTTGAATACAAGGTATCAATCATAACCTGACTAGATGCTAAGACTTAAGAGGAGCTAAAAAGTTAAGTTAAGCCGTCCATCCTGTTCCCCGCTTCAATGTTGCATTTTTTCGGTCTATATCGGCCCGCTCCGGTGTAGATCCCTAGCAGCTGAACAACTTTGTTGTCAGCCGCCCCACTGTCGCTGCCTTGGCCGTTTGGACGAAAACGATTTGTGTTTGCTGAGAAGTGATCCGATCAGTGCAGCTGCATGTTATGACCAGGATAGTAGCAGATGACGAGAAGCCCTTGCCACGTCGCATTCGTGATACCCTATCTCGCAAGACGCGCTGCTTTGAGCAAAGATCTGCGCTGAGTGATTTAGTATGCGGACTGATGGGGAAATTGGAGCAGCGTATCCGCGTTTACAGATCGTTATGCGCACTTTTGGGGTTTCAAACCAGCTTACGATTGATTCTGATGCCTTGAAATCACGATGTTATGCGCTAGACTTGACTGGACAGGTCCGATTGGTCACTGTTAAAGCCCAGCTAAACCTCATCACATTCAGCAGATGTAAGCCTCAACGCGCTGAGGGACTTCGGCCAGATATGTCACGATACTAAGATTCTACAACATTAGGCAGCTAGGCATAAGCTCAATACTTAGAAGAGGTGTAGGTGGTTGCGTATGCAAAGGGTGCTACTGAAGACATCCTAATCCAGACCGGCCTGCACTGTCTGCCTCATTCTCAGAAAAGAGTACATCCACTACCTCTCATTGGCACATACCCTTGCAAGCTTATCTTTCGCTGAAAGAGGGATAGTATTTTCGAGGTCCCCGATGATTTTTCTTGTTGAAGGCGCACAATCAAGCCTTCTCGTTGGCTGATTTGTTCGTTCGTCGCAACCTGCGCAGCTAGCTCTTCTTTTCTGTCGCATGTCCAGCCATGTTGGCAGCCTAATTCCATCAGGCAGACGGCCGAACTGTGCCTAACTCACCAACCCATCACGCCTCGAGATAAGACTAAATACGCACACATTGAACACACTTCCTTGCTCTCAAAGTCACCAGCAGCGACTTGTTTGAAGGGACATATCTCGATATCAACGAAATCCTCATTTCCAACAAAGGTCCGCCAGTCATTGGCCTTGTTCTGGCTCCGCTGCTCCTTCAAGGTGATGATAGGAATTCACGATGCGGCCAGACGCGGCGACGAATCGGCGTTGTCAGAACTCCTACAAGACCCGACATTCGATAAGATCAATGCTAGGGACGAGAAAGGCCACACACCGCTATGGATCGCTTGTCGCGAGGGCCATGTAGCCGTTGTGCGATTGCTTTTGAACCATGCCAAGTTTGATGGTAGTATGGTAAATACTACATCCGAAAATAAACACACAGCCCTCTCGGTCGCTGTGTGCTTTGGGTTGGATGAAATAGTCAAAGTGTTACTGTCGCAACCTGGCATCGAACTCAGTACCAGGGACAATAATGGCCACACTCCGTTGACTCTGGCAGCGAAGAAAGGGTTCAAAAGCACTATCAATCTGCTCCTGGACATTAAAGACATCGACTTGGGTCCGGATGGCCGCGGCAAGACGCCGCTATCCACGGCTTTGGAGTCCGATCAGTTAGACATAGCATCGAAGCTTATAAATGCTGAAAGACGCCGAACTCCGACCGAAACTAATCAGACATTACTGTCATGGGCGTCAGAAAATGACAAAAGAGATGTAGTACGACGGATCGATGATCTAGAAACTAGAAACCTGAACCTCCAAGATGGTGATGGAGATACACCGCTCTCCAAAGCCGCTGAACGTGGAGATTTGTCAATGGTACGCCTGCTGCTCGAGAATCCCGCCATTGATGTAAATTCGAAGAACAAGGATGGTAGCACGCCAATGTCGCGAGCCGCAGTAAATCAACATAAGAATGTGGTGGAGCTTCTTGGTGCGAGAGACAACGTCACACTGCACTCGCTTGTCCGATCGGGAAACCTCCAGTTGACAGACTATCTGCTTACCTGCGACATTGACCTCAACCGCAAGGACACTTACGGTCTGACTGTTTTGCACATCGCGATCGTCTTCAGACATCTTGCAATTACTGAGAGGCTTTTGTTGCGGGGAGCGGACGTGGACGCCGAGGACGGGACTGGCAGAACACCGTTGATACTTGCAGTTCAGCATAAGTTGCGCGACTTTGTCGAACTATTTCTGTCCAGATCGGCAAGTATGAAGGGTATTCAAACCAGCGATTGGCAGAGAATATACCATTGCTACTCTCCAGAACGCATCCTACATATTTCAGAAAGAGCCGGTGGAGTGATTCAAGTGCAGTTTATTGATACGGAGCGCACTCTACAGTATGAGCCGGATATATCGAGGAGTATGCTGTATGTCAGAATTCTGGATCAAACTAGGGAAAAATTGACGTTTACAAGACAGGTCTTCAGCTTTACGGCTTGGTCAAGTTTTCTCACTAGACACAAGCTTGAAGCCACCTTACCAAGAATTAAAGGACATATGCGTTTAACAAAGGTGTTGACCGAATCAGACAGCTTAGCTGCTATTGCTGTCACTGTCTGGGTCCCACATATACGTATGTTTACACAAGGCTCTGGATGGGATGAGTGTGGAATCGCATGGACTATAGGTGAAATTGTCGAGGATGGTGGATTTGGTCTGAAGACAAAAGACCATTTCAGCATGCTACCACACGGCTGGATTCCCGAAAATGGTATCAAATTCTTCCAACAGCTCATCGCACATTTGACGACGAGGTGGTCAGATCTCTGCAATAGCACCGAAGAGCATCTGTCCGAACGTGTAAGACGTCACCTGAAACCAGATGTTTATTATTACTGATTATGGAACACAGCGAATGAAACAGCTCCAAGAGAAGGGTCGCTCGGAGATTATCAACGATCTAGCCGGAGATGCTAAGAACTTAGCTGAACTCCGTCGCTATCTTCGAGCCCAAGTTTACGAAGCAAAGATCTTCGTTGAGGAGTACGGGCGCTCCCAAGGCGAAGGCGTGGACCAAGAGGCGCTCAAAACGATTGAGGGCTTTGCGAAAACCGATGATCTACTTCAAGAACTAGATCAAACCATCAGAGATTTATTACAGTTGGTAGGCGCATTCCCGGAGCTTCTCTTGGGCTTACAGCGGCTAATCCAACAGGAATTTGCATGGGCCTCGACCAACGAGGCTCACATATCGACTAGCCTTGGAATAAGCATGAAAAGGCTTAGCTGGATTACAGTACGTGGCCCACTGGCTCACTGCTGTTGATATGAACTAACACAGATATCTGCAGTTCATCTTCCTGCCGGCTATGTTTACATCGGTAAGACCTCATGTCAGCCCATTGAGCTATACTAGCTGAACACAAATGCCAGAGCCTGTTTGGCATGAATGTGAACATACTCGAAAACAATCCTGATTGGCGCTGGTATCTTCTTTTCGTAGGCACTACACTGCTTCTGACTATTGCTGTCTGGTTATCGTTCAAATATGTTAAGGTTTGTTTACGAGTCTAAGCGACGAAAAAAATCTCCCATAGCGTATCATTTTCCTGACCTGACAATAGGTAGAGGTGGAAATCTGGAAATATTTCAACCAATGGAATACAAAATTAACTGAAAAGAAACAGAACAAAACAAATAGCGCTACGACAAAACTTCCAGTTTAGGTGAGATATATAAATAACGCAATGTACTGTACTACATCCCTATTGTCCGTCCCATTTTCAGTGAAAGAGGAAATTCACTACTTCTCATTGGCTCATACCCTAGTAACTAATGAGTAAATCAACTCTACTAACGTATATAATAAGCAAGTGCAATAAAGAATCTCACTATACTAGATAGAAACAGCCATATAATACAATTCTATAACCCGTGTTGGAGGCGCTAGTCAAAGCCATCGGGTTAGCTAAAATTGACATTTCGAATTTCGCGGTCAGCAGGCTAGCCAATTTAAGTCTTAGTGCATTCTGTTGTGTCCAACCAGAATTTAGCGGTTATACGCTAACGCCTTTTGATTTTCGCGGTCACTTTACTAACCTAACCAGGATTTAATGGTTAATTCAGGGGAATCTCATTTCCTGATACCCATCAGTTGTGCAAATAGGGACAGGGTTGGCGGGATGGTGAATGTCTTTGTCAAATTCGAGCGCCGACCAGAAAATAACAATTAAAATCTGCCAAAAATCAACATTAGTGGACAAGCAAATAAAAAGTAGAGAGAAGCATAGTGCAAGACGTAATTAAATAACTAGCAAGTACCAAATCCATTTTAATCTTGATTCGCGCCTTCTATTTTATTTTCTATCCCATATTCC